TTGTTTTAATCATAAACCAGCCTGGTATGTTGACTTCATAGGTCATACAAAACGAGTGCCTTGGCAGGTTTTTTTTTTAATTTTTATTTTACCCTGTCTCTTTATATTTTTCTAAAAAAAATCTGAGAAACAACAAATTAAATTGGTGTGGCCTAATGTTCCATAATTGTAGATCACGTTCATGGTGCCGAACGCGTTGGCACGGCAACTGGAGTCCGAGGCAGCCAACCGGCGAGACTGTCTCGCGCTAACGGGCATCATGGCCGTCCAGCGCGAAAACTGCGCCGACACCACGCTACTACTCCCACCAATCACAGGTTAGTATCACTGCGTTTTACAGGCATCTTACCTGTGTTATAAAGTAGATCTAGTATCTACCCACCTGTGTGTTGCCTTAGTGTTACCTGTATGTATGTGTCTCACCTGTATCTCACCTGTACCCCCAGCCCCCCTCGAGCGGCCTCGGTGGAGGTTCCCCACAGACTCTACCCACCTGTGTGTTACCTGTACTGTTGTAGTATTACAGTGTGATACCTAATGTGTTACCTGTACGTGTGTTTGTCACCTTTGTCTCACCTGTTTCTCACCTGTGTTACCTGTCCCCCCAGCCCCCCCTCGAGCAGCCTCAGTGGAGGTGCCCCACAGGCTCTACCCACCTGTGTGTGTTTGTTACCTGCATGTTACCTGCATGTTACCTGCATGTTACCTGTGTGTTACCTGTGTGCTACCTGTGTCTCACCTGTATGTTACCTGTCTCCCCAGCCCCCCCACGAGCAGCCTCAGTGGAGGTGCCCCACAGGCTCTACCCACCATTGGACCAACCAGAGGCCCTGCAGCGGCTCAACCTCATCACTCCTGACCAATCACAGGACAGGACGCCCCTCATCCTCCCCAGCATCCGCATCAACACAGGTGCGTATCCACCAATCAAGGGCCAGTATCACTCACTCCTGACCAATCACAGGACAGGACGCCCCTCATCCTCCCCAGCATCCGCATCAACACAGGTGCGTATCCACCAATCACAGGTCAGTATCACTCACTCCTGACCAATCACAGGACAGGACGCCCCTCATCCTCCCCAGCATCCGCATCAACACAGGTGCATATCACTCATACGCCCACCAATCTCAGCGTAGTGCGTATGTAGCGTGTAGCATGTGCGTATATGTGGAGGACTGGAAATACTGCAGCTAGGTGCATCAAACACAGTCCAGCTGGAGAAGCATGCGCCGACTAGCGAGTAGCATGTAGCAACTAGCAAGTAGCATGTAGTGACTAAGCGAGTAGCGTGTAGCAAGTAGTGTGTAGCATGTAGCTAGCAATTAGCATGTAGTGAGTACAGTGTGTAGCATGTACATGTAGCAAGTAGTGTGTAGGGCGTAGTGTATCGTAGTATGTAATGTTACATGTAGTGGTAGCAAGTAGTGTAGCAAGTAGTGTTACAGTAGCAAGTAGTGTAGCAAGTAGTGTAGCAAGTAGCATGTAAGATCTGATGCAGAGAGTGGCGTGTAGCATGTGTGTAGCATGTAATGCTGGGGGTTAGCAGTGCTACAGTTAAAACTGTTTCCTTTGTCAGGTCTGGTTGCGGATGACAAGAAGGACTCGTATCTGGCAGCCTGCGCTCGGGTCAGATCTCTGAACAGGCAGCTGGTACTGGTCAGGACACAGAAAAACCTGTCAGGGGAGGAAGAACAACGACTCATGGCACTGCTACAGGTAAGTGGGGGGGGGGGGTACTGGGGGGGGTATAGGGGGTACGGAGGGCTGTAGGGAGTACTATAGGGGGGTACAGGGAGGCTAATATACATTTGTCGGGGGGCTATAGGGGTTACAGAGGGCCATAAGGGGAGACTTTATATAAATAGACTTTTGACAGAAGCCTGCAAGATGAGATGACGTGTCACCATGTCTCCTGCTTGTTGTTTCACCTCTGACCTTACCCAGGATGCTGAGCAGGAGGAGCAGGGCTGGAAACAGGATTACGAGGCCTTTCTCTCGACCTTGGAGACGTCTGCTGAGGAACACGCCAAGGTCGAGACACAAGCCCTCGCCAAGACGGAACCCCAGAAGCCCAAGGTCGAGAAGCAGAAGGTCGAGCAGAGGTCGGTCAGCCCCGACCTTGGGCACACGCTGGCAGAGGGCATCATCCAGGCCGCCAAGGAAGGTGACCTTCAACTCGTCAGGCTGCTGCTGACCTCTGGCTGTGACCTGGGGTCAAAGGACGGGGTGAGTCACCTTTGACATTTGACATGGGCATCAAACATGGCTGGTACACAAAAATAACTTGACGTTATATCAATTCCATCAATTATTATCTTATGTTTATCCATCAAGTAATATCTAATGTTATCATCCATCCATTATTATCTAAATTATCCATCAACAAATATCTAAATGATATCATCCATCCATATCTAATGTTATCATTAATGCATCCTCGTGTTTGTTTGTTTGTTTGTTTGAATGTTTGTTTGTTTAGTCTGGCTGGACGGCGCTGCACTGGGCGTGTCAGAAAGGTCACCTTGGAGTGGTGCAGGAACTCCTGAAGGCAGGAGCAGACGTCTTCAGTACTGACCACGCGGTAAGACGCTACCTTTGCTCAGCTGAACCTTCGGTGTCTGAGGTTTCTTGTAATTTTAGTTCCTTTATGTTGGAATTAATTTAATTTGATCTGATTAAATATTAGGGCTAATATATTATGACTGGTTCACTGTGCACTGGAGCTACGAAATTCAATGTAGGTGTTACATGGTTCACAGTGTACTAAAGCAAGATGTTACTGTAACAATGCTAAGCTGATGAAGGTAACAGATAGTCACTGAAACGCTGCCTTCACTCAAGTGAACCTTCTGTCTAATGCATTATGAGGTTTCATGTGATTTTAGCTCCTTCTTTTATATTAATTCTATCTGATTGAACATTAGGGCTGATATGACTTGTTAACTTAACTATTCAATCAATTTACCAACCTGATGAAATTATTTACGGTCTTCCATCTGATGTTTTTCTGCTGTAGCACTAGTGCTTGCACAAGTGTGTGGCCCAAGGGCTACAGAAATGGAGATAGACACCACCCCTTTGCTCTGCACAGAGTAGAATGGGACCTTTTTCCCTTCATGTTGGAGTAATTCCGTCTGATGTTTTTCCCTACCACAGCTGCCTTGAATTTCACTCAAGTGAACCTAATCATACAGGTTTCTTGTGATTCTTAAGTTCATTTATGTTGGAATTAATTCCATCTGATTGAATATTAGGGCTAATATGACTGTTTCACTGTGCACTGGAGCTTAGCATTGTTACAGTACAGTCTAGTGCACAGTGAACCAGTTATTATAGCCTTGATGAAGATGACAGACAGTCATCGAAACAGCAACTAACTAGTAAAGCGAATGGTTGTACATATACTAAATAAAAGAACTTTACTAACTAGACTCATTCATTTACCAATCTGATGAAATCATTTGTAATATTGTGTATAGATACATCTGTATAATGTTTTTCCCTCCGACAGCAGAGGAAAACAGCGTTGCATGTAGCTGCCGACCAGGGGCATGCTGGGATTGTGGACGCACTGATCAAGAAGGGAGCTTCTGTCAACATGCGGGACAAGGTCAGAACAGAGTCATAGGTCAAAACATCTGCCAAGGTCAGAACAGGGTCATAGGTCAAAACATCTGCCAAGGTCAGAACAGGGTCATAGGTCAAAACAATATTCTGCCAAGGTCAGACAAGGTCATATGGTCAGAACATCTGCCAAGGTCAGAAAAAAAAGTCATAGGGTTAAAACATCTCCCAAGGTCAGATAAAAGTCAACAGTTACATTATTAACTAAGGTTAAAACATGTTACAAGGTAGATTAGGACAAATTAGGAGCTCATTAGAATTAACCTACTAATTAAGATTATTAGGAGGTAGTTTGAATTACCCTACTAACTAAATAGGTCTCAATATGGAATGTTTGATTTTGAAGGAATAACTGACCCCTGACCTTTTCCCAGGAGGGTCACCTCCCGCTGCACCTGGCTGCCATCGCCGGGCGGGACGTTGCCGTGGAAACCCTCGCTAAGGCCTGCTCCCGCTCGCTGCTCAATGACAGCGATATGGTACGTAACTATGGCAACGCTAGTATACAGTTACAGTAGTTTTTTTAGTACCCTAAGTTACATGTACCTTCAGTACCTACAGTAGACAGTACCTACAGTTTACTATTATATACTGCAACAATACAGTACCTATACAGAACCTACAGTACTGTTGCCATGGTAACAAGTGTCTGTTATGATGCCTGTTGCAGTCTGGTTTCACGGCGCTGCATCATGCGTCAGACCGAGGCTTCGCTGCCGTCGTGGAAAATCTGCTGAAGGCTGGAGCCAACGTCAACGCAAAGGACCTCAGGGTGAGTAACTCACACATCAACACTAACAATAACACAACTTACAGTACAGTTACTACTGTTAACCTCAGGGTGAGTGCAAATGAGTGAATGAATAGCTTTATATACAGCAACCATGTTGTGCGCTTCACACACCCAGCCTGTGTGAGCTTATACAACACCATTTGATGATACAATGTAAGTATAGTACATAAACAAAAGAAAATCGGGGGGTAGTACAGAGATCTCGTAATTCGTATCTCACATACAGTCTGAAGGGCTACAGGAGCTGTACAATTAGACAAAAGTAACACTGACTTTTATACAATGTCATGTACAAATTTAATGTTTGCATGTACACGTGACTGTAGATATTTCAAAGTGTAACTCAGGTGTTGCCATGCCAACCACCTGATAACTGGAAATTCTCTGACCCCAGGAGTTCCGCACGCCCCTTGACCTTGCCGAGGAGAAGAACCACACCAAGGTCGTCATCCTGCTGTACAACGCTGGCGGAGGGTACGGGCGCGCTATCAAGGTCAGTAAAAGGTAGTGCCATCAAGGTCGGTTGAGGTTTACATTTTCACGATCACTGCTGTTGCTCAAGATGACCTGTAACCTCTGACCTCTGACGGGGGTCGTGTGGCGCAACGGTAGTTGGCTCAGGACCAAGAGGTCCCGGGTTTGAATCCTGCCAGATGTCACCGATCTTGTGCCCTTGGGAAAGGCACTTTACACGACTTTCCTGACTCCACCCAGGTGTAAAATGGGTACCTGACTTTGGTTGGGGAGGTAAAAGGCAGTGGAAGGAGAGGGATGGGCTCTGCCTTCCTATACCGTGCACAGTGTATATATAGCAACCCAATGCCCCTATGGCCTGAAAAAGGCTACAGGATAACCTTTACCTTAAGGACCCTGTCCTTGGTGCTGAATATGGTACCTGACTTTGGTTGGGGAGGTAAAAGGCAGTGGAAGGAGAGGGATGGGCTCTGCCTTCCAATACCGTGCCCAAAACACAATGGATTAACAAACCACTGCCTCTATGGCCTTAAAAAAGGCTACGGGACTACCTTTAACATTTTTAAAACTCTGACCCCTACAGGAGATGCCAGCGACCCCCATAAAGAAGAGTGAGTCGAAGCAGAGTCTGGCGACGATCTCGAGCTCCGAGGACTCGGGTTACATGGACGGGGAGGCTCCACCGCTGCCCGAGGAGGTGGAGGAACCACCCCCTCCCCCACCGGTACGTAATGTACCATCCCCAACTTGTAAAATATTAGGAACTAGAAGGTAACATTTGCAAAGCAAGTGCATAATGTTTACCTTTGTATATGGTCTGCTCTGTTCATTCTTACTCAAACACATTCATATATATGGTCAGACAGGAGTCTAAATCCCTCCTACCATAAAATTGCAACATAATGTAACTAAATACTAGTTACCATGGTGACCGATGTCTGGTTTAGGTCATTTACCTTACTTGTTTGGAGAAGAAGAAGAGGAAGAAGAAACAGAGCAAAAACCAGCTGCTTTTCCTCTGTTTCTTAAAAATAAATGATTGTTTTCCTTCTGTAAAAGTAAACATAATTATGTAGAAGCCTTATTGAGATATAAGGGAACCTTCTAAGATCTAACTTGTAAGAAATGTTGTAAGAAAGCAGGAACCTTTAAGATGTGTGAATGATGCTAAGGTGTGATGTTTTCCCCAGGTGGATCCCGAGCTGCTGTTTTCTGGCGCTCGTCGGGGGGATCTGAGCCGGGTTCTGGAGTACAAGGAGAAGGGCGGGGACATGGACGTCAGGGATAAGGTAAGCTGCTGTGTTATTACCTTTGTGCTGATGTGTTAATACCTTTGCCAAAAAGGACTTATGTTTTCACAAAGTTTGCATGTTGGATAGCTTGATTGCTCAGGGAGAAGTGACATGAGTTTGAATTGGTCCCCCTAGCAGATTGTTATGGAACTTCAGGGGCATTTGTGAAAAATGTTTTGAGGGGGATAACTGGAGAACCAGTATAGGAATCGACCTTTAACATATATTAAATGATAATCATGCAAATGAGGATCAAATTTGCATAATCAATTAGGAAATTCTATAAATCTGCTGCATTCCAAAATAAGACTGATCGAACTTGTGACATAAATTTTTTATTTACATTGTGTAATTTAGAACGAACAGAATATCAGATATCAATTAAATGAAGACCTAATTACTGCTACAGAACTGTCATGACATTATTAAGATTGTTATGTCCTCCCCGCTCCCAGTATGGCTACACGGCGCTGCACATGGCGACCCTGAAGGCTCACCACCGAGTCGTGGAGTTTCTCTGTCAGCTTGGAGTGGACATCAACGCAACAGACAAGGTAACAATACGCACAGAACTGAAATTATACTCTACTGCAACAAAACGCTTCTAAAACTCAGTTAGTAGAATATTCTTCAATCAGTGGCTGCTTTTGAAAGGTAGAAACACGTACCTACAAATTTNTATAGAGGACATCGAAAATTTGTAGGTACGTGTTTCTACCTTTCAAAAACAGTCACTGATTGAAGAATATTCTTAACTGTTAATCTTACATGACTGATGAACCTCTTCAACAATATTCTAAAACTCAATTTCCCCTAACATGTATTTTGTATTGTGTCCTACTATTTCACTGCGTTTGTTATTGGGTGGGAAATTGACCATGTGTTTCCAACATCTTTGTTGAACTTCATTACATTGTGTTACATAATGTATTTATCCTCAGAGCGGCTGGACCAGCCTCCACAGGGCCTGCAGTAGAGGCTATCACTAATGTTTCTCCTGTGTTTGTACCAGAGTGGCCTCCACAGGGCCTGCAGTAGAGGCTATCACTAATGTTTCTCCTGTGTTTGTTTCTTGTGTTATCCTCAGAGTGGCTGGACGTGCCTGCACAGGGCCTGCAGTAGAGGCTACCTGTACATCGTACATGAACTGGTGAAGGGAAAAGCAGACATCAACCTCCGGGACGGGGACGGGTTCACGGCCCTGCAGAGGGCGGCCAGTAAAGGTCACATGGACATCGTCGACCTTCTGCTGTCCCATGGAGCTGACGTCAACTCTGCTGACAAGGTGCGCAGACAGGGCAGCGTAAAGGCCTTGATTAGTGTTATAAGTTGGTCCTGATTGGTTAGTGAGAGTAACCAATCAGCGAGGAACTATATATATTGTTAGCAGAGTTGAGCTTGGAACTAATACTAGTAGATAGCTCGTCTGATGGGTCCGGTTAATCTGGGCTGTACAGGGGGTCAGGGGGTTGGAACAGGGGGTGTTGTTTGTTTTTCCAGGTGGGCTGGACAAAAAAGTTTTGGGGGTAGGTCAGGGGGTGTGTAGTTTTTGACTGTACAGGTGTTTGTTTTTATTACAGCTGGGCTGGACGGCCCTCCATGGTGCAGCCAGCGGCGGCCATGCTGACATGGTGAAGAAACTTCTGTCTCTCGGGGCCGATGTGCAGGCCAGGGATGTGGTAAGCTTCTCGTACTGTACTATGTGTAACTTCTCACCTGGTATCTCACCTGTACTTCTCACCTGGTATCGCTAGTACCTGTACAGATGTGCAGGCCAGGGTTAAGCTTCTCTACCTGTACTGATACCTCTATGTGTCACTTCTCACCTTACCTAAGTATCTTACCTACTATTAAATTCTTGGTACACTTGCTAGTTCCGTTGTTGCTTAAAATTAATCTTGTTGTTGCCTCCCCCAATGTTGTAGTTTTGTGGCCATGCCTACCTATTGTTGTTATTGTCATTGTTGCCATGACCACCTTAGTGACCATGTGTGCTTGTGTTGTCTGCAGGTTGGGAAGAGTCCCACGTCTCTTGCGTACGACGAAAACGTCGCAAAGAGACTCACGGATGCCAAGAAGTGGCTGTGATTCCTTCAACATGTCCCGGATTTCTCCCAGATCAGGATGTGATCACTGAGGCCCTACATGAGGCACCTGCATCATTTGATTCTCACCCTGGATCATCAAGTGTGATCCAGTAGTACACTGGATCATGCGATTCTCTCGCTGCATTTGAAGACTTCTTGCTGACTTATGATGATTGTCGCATGCGAAGGACTTGAATTCTTGAACTTATTTAATGGGCACCTCGAAAGCTGTAGATTTGCATGATCTTGAATGAAAGCATGTAAAAGTTACATGTACAGAAAGGAAAGCTCAGTAAATCTTGTAAGTCATGATTTTTCACAGCTGTAGAGATCATTTCTCTTGACATGAAGTTCCAGTTTTAGTTGTTTCTCAGTGACTTTTTAATGTTAGATCTACATTGTACAGATTTGCAGACTCCTTTTGTCTTGTACAGAATATATTTCATATAATTATCTAGATGCAGATGTTAAATTATGTAGGCTGTAACGTTACATAGCACATTTAGATGCAGACATTTGTAAGCTTCTATCTTCCAATTGTGAAATAAAGTTCAAAACCAGTTGTGTACTTTTTATTTCTCACTGAACATGAAAATAAGATGTGCAATGTGTGATTGGATATACATGTAGTTTTTTATCAATTTTCTGCCTTAATGTCTAAAAATTTTCCTCTTAAGAAACGAAAAAATGAGACCTAGATTTTTTTTACCTAGAGTAACTATTCTCATTGGCATTATTACCATCATCCCCAGGCATTTCAATGTATTACTTAACATTGTAAACAGTTCATTTTATTTTCTTGCAATATGTAACTAGATTTTATAAATTTGGTTTATTGTGTATGACAGTAAAAATGTCGTATTTTACAAAATAGCACAAACCTCATATGGCACCTGTACATGTAGGATATCAAATTTCATCATGGCCGCGCCCTGTGGATGCCTGCAAAAACAAAACAAGTTTTGACTTACCTGTTTTAAGAACATATGCAAACAGGGAATTATTAATCCAATTGAAACCTTGATAAAACCTTTCTGGACTAGTTTTTATAACAGGTGTGCTTGTTCCTGCACTTTGCCCGCTCCACGCCAGGCGGCGCCTCGCTGGAGTGTGTACCGCTGATAAATGACGTCATGTTTCCGCCATATTGCAAACAAGAGTCTGTCTGACGCCACAGTTCGCCGGTCGCGCCGCAAATTCTGCCGAAAATCTCCGCTTTTCCGCTGAACTACCAAAAGCCAGGTACGTACACACATGTCTACTATCCCCAGGGAGCTCTATGGTTATTTTTGGGACAATTTGGAGCCCGATTCTGTGGTAAAATCAACTTTTTTCCAGCGCGGATTTTTTTGTGTTGGAAAACAGCAAACCTTGCACCATATATGAAAAACGCCCCAGATTTTGGACAGATTTGTTAAAACCGAGAAAATTTGGTTTTCCACAACTTTGTAGGAAATAATTCTGCTATGTCTTCGTTCTAGACTTATAGAAACCCAAAATACACAATTTTGTGTAAAGATTATTTGTTTTTTTCCGCTACATGTTTCAATAAAAACCATGTTGTGTAAGTGATTTTATGATGGCGTTTAGCGTCGTGACATCGACAGCAAAAAAAAAAAATTATTTCGTTTCGTATCTGTAAAACGCTGTTTATGGATGTTAGCTTGGATGAACTGTAAAATCTGTAGTTTTAAGAAATAATAGTACAGCATCGTTGATTGTTATTTTTGTGGGCAGGCCTAGACATGAAAATGGTTTGTTTGTTTGTTTGTTTGTTTGAGCCTTTATTTCAACTCGATCTGTAACAGTGTTACATGCTCTAATCGGCCGCTATTTCGGCCGCTTTTCATAGAGGTCGAGCGTGGAGGAGTGTCAGGGGGTCATAACATAAATACTACTTGCTCACAAATGAAAACAAAGTAAAATGGTTGAAAATCCACAACAAAAACATGCAGGTATTTCTGGCTTTCAACAAGTGATCATCACGAATATCTAAAGACTATATAAAAACAGCCTCAGGGCATATTTACTTACACATTTATAAGTCTGTATAGCTAAAGTCTGATTAGTTAAAATGGTTTCATTATTTGATAATCATTATGAAAGATAATATCAAATCATTATCAGAAAATCTAAAGCTGAGTTAATGTTTTTTAATGAATTAATTAGCGGTTATGTCTAACCTTCATTAAGAACTGCATTTTCTGCATTTTTCTGCAATTCTAAGACCATTGCTTAACGTGTAACTGTGAATTATGATATCTACATTTTAGATTGTTTTCTGTTGACTGTCATTTTCAATTATAACTTATAGTATAAGCAATTAACTTACTCATCAGATGAGTAAGAAAATCATGAATATGCCTGTTCTATGATGAATATAAGTAGTTAGTACTGTATGTCCAATATTTCTATGTTGAATTTCTATGATGAATTATGCTTGTTCATATCACCACTCTTATCACTGTCACCTCACAACACAATTAGCATTATATTTCAGAAAATAAATTATGGACTACAAAATGATGTCTAATCTGTTATCACCTGGTATTGACGTGTATTTTGATAATACAGCTACGATTTTGAATTTATTATTAGAAATTTAACAAACCATAGTACTATTTTCGATTTTGCCGATCAATTATCATTATATAATGATGATCATTATATATGGCTGCTATTTGTGAACCAAGTTTTTTCTTTATTGTTTACATCGATACGAATTTATTACGAAAGAACAGTTGACTTGTTCAAGTTGTTGGTTTGATTATGCCGCTTGCCTTCTGTCGTAAACAGAAATTTTTCCTGCATGACAAAATCAGACTGTCAGCATGTCTGGAACACGATGTCATAGGGTCAAAAGTCAGAGGTCGGTGACCTCTCAAGGTTGACCTCTGATGATGCAACACGAACACTGACCAGACCAGACTGGGACTGACCACATCAGAGTTTTATATAAAATTTTTAGCAAGAACGACAAGTTCTGTCAATATGCTACATCAGGGTTAGGCCTAGGAAAAAAAATGTTGAATGTGTTTCCTGTTTCCCGACCGACCCTAGAAAAAATTGCTGACACTAGACTTTTATGTGTGGACCCTGCAAGGGCCTGGGATATAATTTTTTTTTGAGTTGATTAACTTTTTCTAGCTCCATGATCTGACACCTGAGAGATGAAACATTGTACAATCGGTTTTCCAACATTGACATTGAAAATATAATTGTCCTCATGTAAGGTTTACTTTGTTAAATTGTACAACTACAAGTTGGACCACTAGGGATTGTCAAAGTCTAATTAAAAAAAAAAGAGAAAAAAGATAATCCCTACCGTCCGATTCTAATTTTTTGTTACACAGGAGAGAATTTAGTTCCAGTGGGGAGAATGATTAGATTAATATTTTGAGTCATATTTCCTGGTGATGATGTCATGTTTATGTAAACAGTCGCTGTTGACTCACGGCTGCGGTTGTTTGTTTATGTGACTCCAGGGTAAGTCCTGCTTCGTTAGTTGTGCATAATTGCAGAGAAAACACTTCAAAATTCAGTCAGTCAGTCCAGGTATCATTTTCAGGTCGAACCATTACTAAATACATTTTGTAGCATCTTACATTCTAACCAGATACTGAGGTAGGTTTGCTGTGTTGTTGAATTTATTAGAATATTTAAAATATAATACAGTAGTAAATGTGTGATAGTTTGTGAATAATCTATTCTAATATTTCTATACTTTCAGTTTTGTTTTTGGAAGTGAAAGAATTTCATGTAATTGTTTGTCACTTTTCTAGGTACAGTACAAACTGCTGCATATTTTTAACAGCAGTGTCAAAAAAAAATAAAATCATAGTTGTGTAGTAACTGAAATAGAATTAGTTTCAACTGACAGTCTACTTCAACATTTTATTTTATCTGGTGCACCCCTAGAAAAATTTTGTGCACCCAATGTTTTAGGTTGGGTGCACCAGTACATGAATTTCGACCCCACTGGTTTGAAATGTAAGTGTGTTGTTACAACTTACATGCAGGTTTCCCTGTCAGACCGTACATGTACATGTAGCTCTCAGCTGAACTCTGATTTTATCCATTAAAAGCCTTGTCTTTACTGGAGGCTCACAGAAAGGTCAGGGGTCGGTTACCTGTCCTCCCACACAGGCGGGCAGGGTGAGGGCAAGTCTGCGGTTCTCAGCAGTTTTTCAACCGAATGATATAGAAATAAACCGATTATGAAATAAAAACCTACAGGGAGTATTGCTAAGAAGACGACAAAAATGTCGAGACTATGCATTATGACTAGATAAACTGATACCATGCCCAGAAAAGAACAAGAAACAGTCATGCCTTCAAATATCAGAGTTATCAACCAAGAATTAAGGTGATCAAAAACTCATACTTTCCAAGAACTATCCCAGAAAAGGCTACTTATAAGTTATATGCATGTCAGTTGCCTTTGGGAGACACTTAGTCTGTAGATATTACACACATGTACACATACATATGTATGGTTTCTTAGAAGAAGATATTTTAGTCTGAAAGACAGGTCAAGGTCTACTTGCTGCTGAGTGACTACGTAAACGTATTATATTTGTACCTGTAGAGGTCGATGAACCCAACGTGATTTTCTGGCAAGCAAGTCCCGTTAATCCTGTGGGGAATTGGACTCAGCGAAATGCATGAAGAAAATCATTTTAGCAATTTATTTTGGAGTCCTGTATACTATGTTTTACTAACTGACAGACGAATGATTGCAGTACAAAAGATATCGATCAGCTCAGGAGTGGTTTAAGACTCTTAAGTGCATTGTACTGCATTTTGGCAATGTTAAGTAGAGAAAAAGCATTAGTTTTGCCTTCCTTTCTCCTCTTTACAAGGAAGATCTATTTTCCAGGTATCAGTGTGGAGCTTTTAGGAGTTATCATTTCTTTGTGTATCAATAGTGCCAGTGTTCTTATACAAAACTTTCTTCTATAAGTTTTCAGTTTAAAATAAGCCCTCGGCATGAATTTGCAATTTTTATTGTCTCAGATTTCCAGGAAAGCCTCATTCTGAGAATGGCTTTCCCTCGGATCAACTCAAAATAGGGATGTTTTCGCTAAACGGTTTGTCTGAGAGAATTTCAGGAATGAAGACAAGAAAATAATCTTACTAGCTCTACATTTGTACTTGTCTTCAACTTTTCAGCGGTTTCTTTTAACATTTCTTGTTCTTTCAATGTTTCCATATTAAATTTTTTAATGTCAAATAAAATTTTGTTAAGAAATGAGTCAGAAGTTTTGCAGCTGTCCCCTGTAACCCGATCCTGCCCTAATTGCATGAGTCATGCAGTACTGAGCGCGCTCAGTGGGCGCAGAAAGGTGATTCCTGAACCTGAGGCCAAACTTGAACTTCACATGTACAGCCTGAAATACTGAACCAGGATTAGATTATATTACACTGTTTACTGGGCCTTACAATCTGCAGACTTGGCAACATTGACGTACATTTATCTAACAGCTGAATTAGTTTAGGGTACAAACTAGATGCTCTTAATGTGCTTGTCAGCTCTGTGTGTCCTAACCGGGATTGGAGATTTTTTTGAATAGTTAATTTCTATTTATATTTATAACTATTTCACATATGTTTAGAGGAGATGGAACAGAAAGCAAAAGCTGATATTGAAATGAATAGTTCGATGTTCTATTATGATGACAGAAACCTGAGACTGTTTAACACTTCAGCATGTCTTGAGAGACAGTGAGACAGTCTGACGAGAATTGTCTTGAGGCGTCTTCACCATGTCCGAGACACACGAAAATGAAAGTTTTCTTTACCCTTTCTCCAGGTCGTTTTGAGACGTCTCCACCATGTCTGAGAGTGAGACATACTAAAGTGACTGAAATGTCGGTTGAATAAAAGACTTGGTAGAAAGTCTTTACTACGAAAGTGAAAGTTCCTTTTACGTTCCCCAGGCCGTCTTGAGACGTCTCCGCCATGTCTGAGACGCAGTCTGAGGAGAAGAAGGACCCCCCGGAGACCGGAGACTCCGCCCCGGCAACGGGACACCACATCGTGCCGCCGCCCGGTCACCACGTCGCCACTCCTAGCGACCACGGAATCCCCGGTCACCACGGTTACCAGCACGGCAACACCGGTCACCACGGCGTCATGGATCACCATGGCAACATGGATCACCATGGCAACCTGGATCACCATGGCAACCTAGATCACCATGGCAACGGGCACGGGTCAACAGGACCCGGCCACTTCCTGTACGGTCAGTAGCTTTTGTCACTATGGAGTAAATTGCAACTGTAAGAATTAGGAGAGTAGAAACAGAAAGACACTCCTGGTCCCGGGCCGGGGATCGAACCCACACCAAACCCGGGCACCAGCTTCAAACCCGAGATTCCTACCGATTTGGCCAAAAGGGCTAGACACATCAGCTGGGTCAGTGGGTAGCGCCTATAAGCCCCCCACTGTTACACAGTGAAAGAAAAGGGATGGTTTGTTTGTTTTGCATAACCAGTAAACCGCCATTTCAGGTGTAACTCACCAGTTTTGTACAATGTAAGTACAAGCTGAGCAAGACAAAACTGTAAGGTTTGAACCACTCACACAGGATTCGAACCCGGGACCTCTTGGTTCTGAGCCAAACACGCTACCGTTTGTGCATAAGGTTTGTTTTCAGAAAGTTTTCAGAAAGAAAATCTAAGCAAATTTTTTTTCAGGTTCAGACCAGAACATCCTGACGGACATCCCCGGACTGGGAGGAGAACCCCAGAGGGAGGAGGAACAGCAGACACAACAGCCTGCTGCAGGCTCCCAGGGGGAGGGGCAGCAGCAGGAGGAAGAGCCACTTGTGCGTTCTCCACAAGAAACTGAGGAAAATGTAGGTGGCATTTGGCTTCGAAATTCTGTCCTACACAGGTCCTGCAAATAAATTTCAATATCTGTATCTGTACAGCCGGTATAACCGCCCTTTGGCGTAATACACCAGCTTCACAGGCACGCGGCGCGGCGGCCGCTGGCTACATCACACCGATCGACTTGTTACACCTAACCCTTGAACATCTAACTCTAAACATTAAACTATCTATCAATGATACCCCTACTGTACTTGGGGACACTGCGAGTTCCACTCTTCGATAGTTCTAGGAAAGGATGAATATTTACTGAATAAATTTCAGCCATAAAATCTGATTTCTCATTAAAAATTACATGTTGCTTACACAAATGTTGTTTGTTTGTTTGTACAGGTAGCAGCGCAGACAGAAAGCGTGGTTCGAGATTTCCTATTCCAGAGACACCAGCGAGAGCAGGCGAGAGAAGCACAGGTCGGGGAGTGTACGCCTTCCATGCCGGAACTGGTGCCTGATGTCAACCCGCTCAGGTTTGTTTGTTTGTTTGTGTGGGAAGCAACGTCAACCCTCTCAGGTCTGTTTCTTTGTTCCCCTACATGAGACACTTGAGTCTATGCATTTCAAGATTTGTAAATTTAAGGTAAAACAGCTTTCAAGAAGCGATGTTTGTTTATTCACCCATATGAGACAATATCTAACCTATGAACATGTATTTTAATACCTGTGAAAGTGAAACAGTTTTCAAGAAGTTATTTTCGCAAAGCTGAATCTGTGCATGTGACCTTCATTATCAAAGCTCCTTGATAGTCTCAAAAATTATGTAAATCTTATTGTTGTTGATTCTTTGAGTAAACTCCTGTCTTGTTGGCAAGTTTGCTTTTACAAGTGAGCCGTATATTTTATTTTTATAATTTCAATTTGTACGTGTTTTAATTTCTTCTTTGATGATATTGTTTTAATGGAAATTTTGGTGTAATTCAGGGAATACTGCAATACTGATCTTTATTCTGAATACAAACCAATGATAATGATGATGATGATGATGACCTTTCCCATGATGCCTTTCCCCACAGCCGAGAGAGCGAAGTCGGGCGCAAACTTGCGATGATCGGAGACGAAATCGAGACGCGCTACGAGAGCGAGTTCAAGGCCATGATCAAGACGCTGCGAGTCACGCCCTCCACGGCGTACGAAGCTTTTGCGGGCGTGGCACGAAGGTCAGTAAGGGTCAAAGGCCATCTGGCGGCCATGTTTGTTTTCAAATCTAACTGATATTTATATATAATCCTTATATGATATTTTATTTATTCACTAATCTATTGTTTGCTTCATGCAGCTTGGCCAATATCTGTACAAAATTTACGTATTATAAAGTAAACATTACGTATTTGCTGAATGAAAATGATACCATTCTAGGTTTCAAATCTGCTTGTTTGTATGATATTTTACCCTACAGTAATTTTCCCCTCCTGTTTTTAGGTTATTCCGTGACGGTATAAACTGGGGCCGTATCGTTGCTCTGCTCTGTTTCAGCTACCGGAAATTATCTCCGTAATTTATCCAGCAGTAGATATTGTATGATAAATGGCCCTACAGATGTACAGTAATTTTCCCGTCCCGTTTTTAGGTTATTCCGAGACGGTATAAACTGGGGGCGGATCGTTGCGCTGCTCTGTTTCGGGTACCGGATGGCCGTGGACGTTCTCGAGCGCGGAATCCCGGACTTCGTACGGCAAATCATCAAATACGTCGTCCAGTTCATCATCTCCGAGCGGATAGCCAGGTGGATCGCAGAACACGGCGGATGGGTGAGTAGAAACACCCCTATTTACATAATGGGATCTCCCACTTTTGGACTATACCACTCGATGCTTGGGGGTGTTGATATACCTTTTGTTTCTGCTTCACACTCTGGTAAGTTCCCCTCTTGTGTTGGAACAAAGCTTGAACGTTACAACTATGGATTCTACCAACACAGATGAGCTTTCATTCAAACATTTGTTGACTTGTTTTGTTTCTGTCTTACAGTTTCTGTCTTCTGAGCTTCACACTGAACGAGGGTTTTAACTGATTTTTCTTAACCCTTTTTTTTTTCTGAGTTACAGAGAGGAGTTCTGAGCTACACACTAAACGAGGATTTTAACTGATTTTTGTTGACCGTGTTGTGTTTTATTCTTTCTTACAGAGAGGAGTCCTGAGCTACACGCTAAACGAGGGATTCCAGGCGCTCGGAACCGTGTTCGTCGTCGCTGCAGTTACAGTCATCGCCGCCGTGTGGCTCTTCAGACGATCATAGAACCGGCAGGAACCCCCCACATCAACAATGGTACAGTCCGAACTCTGCTAACTCGGCCATACCGAGGATGATACCACTTCAGTTGTAGGGATGTCAGGATAGATACTATTATTCCCTGTACCATATTGATCAAATGTTCCGAGTTTAGGCAGGCCTTGTGAGGTTTGGATGATACTAACTGATAAAAAGGGGGGGACAGCTGCTGGTATTTTATGGACCAAGATTTGGGTTGTGCTATGTTGAGGGAGGGAGTGTTGTAAGATGTTTAAGGCAAGTCTGAGAGGTGCTGGGTTTGGAGCAGGCAGGGTTGTTAGCTAAGATTCAGTTGGGCAGAGAAAGATGGGAGCTCGTTTTGATCCAAAACTGTAAGTTTGGACCTTGTTGGAAAGTCTAACAGGCCAGTTTGATACAGTCTCCACCAGACTCCTTTGCAGGCTGAATGAATTGTAAAAGAATATGTAGCTGGCCAGGAAAGTTAGCCGGCCATAGAGGGTCCAGTTTGCCTGCATAGATATATGGCCGGCCAACTCCCCTGGCCAGTTACATTCCTTTTTAGGCCGATTTCTACTATTTATTCAGCCTGCAAAGGAGTCTGGTGGAGACTAAGCTTTGATGCCTGGTGTGAATGTTTACATGGATGAGATGAGTGACTGCAATGAGGAACAGGTTTGATTCAGAAATGGGAACAGAAGTTTTAGTCATGAAAATAATGTTCCCCAAAACCTTTAGCTGACAACCCTGCATTGTGCGAACTTTTTCTCAGTGTCTGGTTTGACCTGTGGCCTTACCTATGACCTGACCAACTTGACCTGTGACAGGTCAGGGTGCAGGTGATGTGAAGTTGACCTGAACTATGAACTTGTCGACCATGTAAAAGTTTTGAGTTTTTTTGCCTTTGAAAAATTTACTGATGTGGGAAGTGGTCAAAGGCCATCCTTGTCCAATCAGAGACTGAGAAGAGGTTGATTGACATGTTGATTGACAGGTAGAGAGTTTATAAGGAAAAAATGTGCTGGAGAGAAACAGTAAATAACTTAAATGTCACGATTTAGGAAAAAAATGACGAAGATTTTAGGCTAGAGGCTCCAAGAGTTATTATTATTGTGGGCCTACCCCGTTGTGTAATGGTTGTGCCCAGAATTTGTATGATTGCGAGGTGGAACGACCCAACACGTAAGTGAAATGGGGGTGGTCAGGGTGAGTTCCACGCAGGTTTCAATCCTTAGGAAGATTCTCGGGTACAACAAGAGAAGAGAAACGTCATATCAGAAGACCGAAGTATTTTCCTATCCTACATGTACGAGTCAGTCTGGGTTGGGGGGGGGGGGCACAGCTGAGATACCCAATGTTAAACGGTTTTTCAAGGTCGTTCGCACAATTGAAGGTCAAAGGAGACAAGGTCACTCACGTTCTTGAAGGTCTGAAATTTGATCTATTTGACCTTGAATGTCAAAATCCACAACATGATTTTATTCTTACTTGTACCTGTGTGTTTGAAAAGTGGTTTGAAAATTTGGAACTCTGCCCAGAATTGATAGAATTTCTGTCAGAAAAACTCAGGAAAGCTCTGAAGCAAGGCTGCATCGATGGTTGATTGTTTCTGCGTGCATTTTAGCCGTGGGAGGACTTCCACCACCTAAACCTATATAATATCCCAGGACAGAGGCAAGTGGCGGGCTGCCATCAAGCCTCAGCATTGTAAAGTGTTGAACTTTATTCCAACACAAGGGTTACACAGAGATCAAATTTTCAATGACCACTGTCGCCTTCATCAGGATAATTAATGACCAATCACTTCAATCTGAACTATCATGACTACCAACACAGATAAAACCTTCATCATAATCCTCAGTACCACTGTGCAAGCAGGTCTAACCCTTGGAACACGGGGAACAACAGACGATAAACCAGATAGTGAGTGAGTGAGTGGCTGCTGTTTAAAACATGCCTGGTCACTCGTGAGTCATTTGTAGGATTTCAGATTTCTGGATATGAAGAAGCAGAACGTTGGTGCAAAAAAAATGAACTTGAAAAAAATCAGTTTTGAACTAAACTTCAGAATCAGTTTGTGTGGAGAGCAATAATCAACATCACTCACCTAACTCCAACCTTCAGGGATCTAACCTCAGGGCTCCAGCCAGCACCGTTTTCTGTCAATTGCAGGAACTTTGTGTCATGTTACGGAAATATTTTCAAACCAATCTGTCAACCTTGATGGACAAAACTCGAAAAATCTTGGGTAAATCCAAAGGATCACCAACAAATGCTCTGAAACCCATGATTTGCCTCTAAAAATTTAGGAAATTATGTTTTTAAAGGCACCAAAACCCAGAATTTGCCCCCAGACCCCCCTTGAGCAATTATGAACCTTGGCTGACGGAAAATGATTTTGAGCTGACTGGAGCTCTGTTTAACTACACAAAATGATGACTGGACACATTAAAAACTTACTCTTTAAAGGAAAAATTGACTAACTTCCCGACCCAGACTGACTATAGCTGACCTATTCAGACCGTATTTGTGAGTCTTTGCTGAGAAACAGATTCTGAAGTATTCGTGATATTTCTGTAGAGATTTTACTAGTTGTTTATATGTGATCCAACACAGAAAGAGAAAATCTACAGTTTAGAGATGTTTAAGTATTGTTTCTTGTCTGCCATAATAATTGTATTTGTAAAGTTGTTTTTTGCCGTTTTAAGCTGTTTTGTCACATGGTTGGTTTGAGGGTATGTATGGGGTTTTGGAGCAGGAGTTATGGAGTATTTCGAACAAAGAAAGGCAAAGTATGGTAAGGCTATAACTTTAGTTATTTGTTTATTGATGAAAAATTACAAGTTTCAGATATTAGCTTTCAACAGAAACCTTTGTGTGAGACATCCGATGTTTCTCGACAATCATGTTTCCATGGAAACCTTAAAATGTTGTACATTTTTCCTTTAAGACATGATGTCAAGTCATGTGACCAATTCTGACCAATCAAAGCACTAGTCTTGGCTGCAACATTGCAGTCTTCACAACCTGCAATTCTCCCTCTGTCTGCTAGGCGGAGCTTCTCTAACTAAGCAGTGCTTGCCCTTTAGTCGACAGTCTCACTATAAAAAAGGGAGTTTTAGAATAGGTGCCTTTTCTGATGCTTGCTGCTTGTAGCTTTCGCTTAGTGCCTTTTGGGACAACTTTTCTTTCCCTGCAGCCACCTTCTGCAAACTTTGCTCTATAAATTTGGCTCCTTACTGCTTGTACTACCTTCATTAGATACCTGTCACACTCATTATGTTTACCTTTGCAGAAGTAAAAAAACACATTGTTTTTGCTCAGTTTCTTCTTCTCCAAACACATAAGGTCAATGACCTGGACCAGACGTCTGTCACCATGGTAACTAGTGCAGTAGCAGACACCCTGTGAAGGTGTTGGGTTACATTATGTAGCAAATGCCAGACAATATTGAAGTTGCTTGTCAGGATATACATTTTGTAAATGTACTGTGTTTGAGTAAGAATAAACAGAGCAGTTGTTTGTTAGGCAAGACCAATAATTGTGAAGGTAAACATTATGCATTTGCTTTGCAGATGTTACAGTTTCTAGTTTGGTATTTTGAAACCCCAGGAAGCTTGCTATGGCTATTACAGATCATTTTTGATGTATGTTGGATTCTTTACTGCTGGAAGCAGGGTAGTTGTGAATGTTCCTGTGTACTTAATCATTATTAACTATTATTGAGAAGTCTTGTTTAGTAAATTTGACGTCTTCAATGTATTTGAATAGGTCAGAATAAATATAGCTGGAAAATCCAGTTTCTTTCCTGTGGTCAAGATATTCTTGTTTTCTGCGTAATCAAAAATCACTTTTAATTATTAGAAGAAGAAACAAAAGTTACTGGGAAAGTGCTGTTAGCACAATGGCATAAAGATTTCCCATTGTTTATTCATTGTAAATGTAATTGTAGAAGTATTAGTAAGATGAGCCAACCCAGGCTCTAGAGGACTAGATCGCCCACGACTGCCAAGTATGGCAGTGGACACTCTGAAGATGAGGGACTGACTTTGATGCGGGCCACTCTCTAAGCCGAGAAGACCTTTAAGTACAAGTAAGTATTAATAAGACACAAGTGTTCCCTTCACACCTTTTTATTCTTATTTATGGCACCATTTGCAGTATACAGTACATTCAGATAACATATTACGCAATGTGAGTTATATAATATTTATATTGTTTCTTGTTATGAATGTGTATGAGGTAAAAAAGCAATTAATCCTCAGAATCAGTGGAGTTTAAAGGTTCATCCTTTTTTGCTAAGGTCAGGTTTCTAAACATTTTCACTCAGTATTTGTCAATCAACCCTGGGATGCGTAACACAATGCACATCTGCCTACTAGTAGATAGTGTTGTTGGGGTGACAGCAAAACAGGTACAGGTAGTAGATATAGGTGAAGGTATATTGTACAATGTAGCCATCTGTGTGTTACGTTGCCTACTAGGCAAAATGCCCTGATGCCAAAGTGACAACTGAAAGTGCTGCTGTGGTTACATAGCAATGTTGACTTAAACTCTAAAGGTCCTGAGTGACAATATCTGCATTGTCATCTTTGCATTGGGATTTGAATGCTTGTTACCTGCAGTTTCAAAGGCAACTGCAAGGGGGATTATTGCCCTGTCTTGTGAAATGCATGTACAGAGTCCTACAGAGTATAAAATTCTTTTAAAATCATTGCTCCAAATTTGATCCCTAGGACCAATTCCCATTTACAAACAACACAAACACTAATACCAGTCCTACTAACACATCACAACACACAAATTCCTACTCGCAAACAAAATATGGTACTACTAGACATGATCACTATGGAAGAGACAACCAGAATGCACAATTTACCGCTTAATCTACTTGTTTCAAGCAACAGGACTCCACCACAGTTACAGTTGTCATCACAGATACAGGTATGTATCATTCTGGTTATTTACACTAAGTCTTACATTTAATTATAGGTACATGTGAACAAGCCCTATTATACAATGTGTACTCAGGCATTCAATCCTTTTCTCAGGATTTAAAGATAAAACCAGTTGTTACATAGTAGCAAGTACCCTTTTCACAAAATAGACAAGTGTTTAAATCCTGATACATGTAGTCCATGTGCTGACATGATTGAATAATTTTATGTATTTCCTATAGGCTATAGGCAGTTACATATACCAACTCTGCTTGGTCCTATTAGCAGACATGTAATCATGTTCATGATTACATTAATTTTTTTTTTTTTACATGAATGTGTCTACAAGGTGACCCTGACTACACCATGTCATGTGACTTCTCCTCGGACCCTGCCTGTAGCCGAGAGGCCCCCTGTGGCTCAGAAACTGCCTGTCGCCGAGAGGTTCTCCGTGGCCGAGAGGTTCTCCGTGGCCGAGAGGTTCTCCGTGGCCGAGAGGTTCTCCGTGGCCGAGAGGCCCCCCGTGTTGGTGACAGCGACATCCCTGCTATCCTGTCCCCGCAGTCTTCTGCTGTCGGACGTTGTCTCGGGTTCCTCCTCAGACACCAGTTGATGAGCTTCTGCCACTCAGGGATAGGGGGAGCTCTTTCATCCCAAGATGGCAGGGGAAGCTTTTGGTCAACGTTGAGCGGTACAGCCTCGTTAAACTGGGACTGGTACTCAGGATCCTCCTGGAAGAAATCAACAGGTTTGAAATATGTTATCCATCTTTAATTCTGATCATTTTGACAACTTGAGTCATACTATTTAGACCACAGCAAGTAAATTTTATGGATGACATTCTCCGCAGATTCCAAATCTAATGCGATTGGGTGAAAAAAAACAAGGTTCCTACAATTTGAAATTTTGACTCAATCATTGTACAAATGGTGTTGATTCAGTAGGAAGCACATATTACACAATCAGCATCACATATCACTGCATCAAAGTAAGAAACAATCATTAAATCAGAGCCTTTTCTTGTCTCCTCTTTTCATAGTTATCTACCATCCACCTTCCAGCATGGCAACAGACATCTTTGCCCATTTTTGGCATGTTGACCACTGTCAGAAGGCAACAAAATTTTTTTTTCCCAAATCAGACAAATATTAATGCCCGCACTGATGTCATCCGTAAAAATTACTTGCTGTGGCCTTATACCCTTGGTAGATTTTGTAACACTTTGGGGAGGAAAGTATCATGCCTTTGCCAGATATTTTTACAGAAAGAAGAAAGGCACATACCGGATAGTAAATAGTCCGTCCGTACCACATCTCGAGCAGGATGACACCCATGCTGTACATGTCTGCACTCCTGTTGTACTTCTTTTGTGCCAACACCTCTGGCGCCGTGTAGAATGGCGTCCCCTCCTTTGTCCTGGCGTAGGCCTTCTCTGACTTGGAGCTGCCAAAATCAGCAAGTTTGACCACTCCTTCTGAGGACACCTGAACAAAATGGACCGATGCAATCTACTTTGTTTTTATTTTCAGATGCAGTCACTTTGATAATGTCATTCAATGCAGAAGAAAAATAGTACACACAATACACTAAAAGACAATCCATCATCCAGCTTTATATTGCTTAAGTCAATGATAAATGTTTTTTTGCCTCAATTATATGACTGTAGAGTTTCAAACTCGTACACTTTGAATTGGCAATGAAACAAAAACCTTCAAGTTTGGTGTTTTCCTTTGCCAGTGTGAACATTTCAATGTTTGGATTACCTGTACATTTGTACCTACAGATCATCAACAAGGACTTACCAGAACATTGATAAGTTTGAGGTCCCTGTGCATGTACCTCATCACATCGTGGATGTGCTTTAGCCCCTCACACAGCTGTATTGCCTTGTCTTTGGTGTAGCTGAAGGCTACTGCCTGCTGCTTTTTGTCAGAATCCCACCAGGCTGGGCTGTTTTCTCTGGGAAGTAGAATTGTAAGATGCTGTCGGTGTAGCTCAATATTGTGATTCAAGCCTTAAAAGCCACTAAGTACATTCAATTTGTATAAATTACAGGCAGTTTTTGTCATTGGACATGTGACAAAAAAAGGGCTTACCTTTTCTCAAACAACACTGCGTCCAGTGTTTTTGGGCAGTACTCCATCACCAAGCCCAGACTTGGGGTTCCGTTAGCATCAGTTTCACCATGGTAGGTTCCGAAGCATTTCACGACATGTTCTCCTTTCAGCTTCCTGAAAAAAAAGTGATTGAATGGCTGCATCAGAATGTTTCAAAGTGCATTGTCCCATTATCGTGTTCAACAAATGCTATTTTGTCCAGCAATTAACTACTGACGAATGCATAGATGTATAATATTCCTGTACCTGAGGTTTTCTAGCTCTGTGACAAAGTGCACCAGATGACCAGAAGGAAGCAAATGTTGGATCTTCACAGCAGCTGTGAACTTGCCTCCATCTTTGCTGACTTCAACGCGGTACACACACCCTTGCCCCCCTACTTCGAGACGATGCCAACTGGAGTCACCTGGTTTCCCGTGAGTAAGGCCAAACTCGTGTTTCTTGATGTTTGTAGCATATAAGCCATAAAGCTGCTCAGTCAATGCATCAACTTTTTCCAGTTTTGGTCCATACTTTCTTCTTACTTCTTCTGGTCTTGTCTCTGTTTTAGCATCTTGGATGAGTTCTTTATCAACCTGTTGAAGTTTGGGAATAGCATCTTTGCATGCTTTGAGATATTGGATAGGTCCCTCCAGGTGTTCTGTCACGGCCAATTCAATCTCTGTTGCCTCTATCATTGCATCAAACACGACGTTGGTACAGTGCCAGATGTATTCTTTCCTCTTGCCACGGCGTGATACCAGCTTCTTAAGATCTTTGTGAAAGTTTTTGGTGGTATCAGGGTTGAGACCAACCATGCTGGCCATCAGAGGGATGTGATAGAAGGCACTTGCAATAAAGTATGCATGTTTGAAAAACCCACCACATCGCATATGTTTGGATGGAAGGTGCAGGATGTCCAGCGTTTCTTCAATCACATTATTGTGCCGTTCCACCAAACTGCCATACTGTGTCTGGAACTCTTCCCTGAGTGTGATGTCTGCTTCACGAATGCACTGGTTGAAGGCTGATGCCTTTGGGTTACTCTTCAACTGTGACTGAATCTCGTCAGCAATGGCAGTTATCAACCTTGTTGTGCCAGTCACCTTAGGGAAGTCTTTCAGTACCTTCTGGTAGACACTGTCCTCAATGGCTTTATTTTCAAGGAATGTTCTGAGATGGCCCTCAGCTTTCCTCTTTGTAGCTGCCAACTTTTCTTCAAGTTTCTTCACGACCTTCTGTGCATGGGTTTCAAAGTTTTCAAGCCGCTTCTTGGCCTGTTCCCTTGCCTTCCTCCTTTCTCTCTGTGTTCCACATGCACTGTGCAGTTTCAGCCTAATGATTTGGGATGCCTTCTGCAACACAAGCTTTACATGCCTGCGAAATGCATGTTATGTACATGTAGATCAAACATATGAAAATTCTTTGAATGCATGAAATGTTAACAGGCCTGGTATAAACTGGTTGCATTGGTACATTGTAAGAAGCCTGTTTTGTTTAGTGTTGTTTATTTCTTATCCAAGAACCAAGAAATTGAATTAATGTGGCCCTATAAAATGTGTTTGGCCCTTGTTGTCTGAAAGTTTGTATTCACAGTCTAATGTTATATTATTAGACGGGGCTAAGCTCGAACAGGTGACTAGTTTTAAATACCTTGGGGTCACTATTGATTGCCTACTCAAATGGAACAAACATTTCAAACATATGTACAAGAAACTTGCTCAGACCATTGGCATTATTAAGCACTTGAAACCCTACCTAAACAGACAAGCCCTAGATGTAATGTACACAACGCTATTCATTCCGCACATACAGTACTGTAGCACTGTCTGGGACACGGCAGGGAAGGGATACATTGAAAATTTGCAAAAGCTACAAAACAGGGTGGGTCGGGTGATTCTGGGCTGTGACAGGCGAACGTCTACCTCAACCCTTCCAGGATCGAAATAATGGGTGCATGTGCACCTTAGTGCACCCAAATTTGGATCGGTGCACCCAATTTTTGACTGTGGGTGCACCGGTGCACCTAAATATTTTTGTAGTATTAAGTACGGTAAAGGTACAAAACACTGTAATTCCAACATTGCTGTGATGGAATAAAATAATAAAAAACCTTTGATGCACTGCTTGTTTGAAATTCTTGAGATAGAATTAGATTTACTTCAGTTTTTAAAACCCGAAAATGTGTCGGCGCAGTGCCGACATCGCGTTACCCACCAACTTCCGGATCCCGACTACAACACTGGACAAGAGATCTCTTCTTTCTCGTTCCCCGGTTTCTTGATAGTCATGTGACCAAAACATCGCGAACTCGATCGCTTCCGGAACTTTCCGACGCTTTTTGGGAGTTAGGCCACACCAACTTAATTTTTATGGATGACATCCGCGCGCGCATTGATTTTCGCCTGTCGCCCTCAAAAAAAAAAAAAAGATCACCTCCACCGAGGCTCTGGCCTGGCTCTAGACCTGGGTAGTCCATGCTAGTCAGCGACAAAACGGAGCCAAGCACCCAAGCTATCGAATTCGAAGCGCCACGATTCAAGAACTCAGTACATAAGTATAGTACCGATTCATAAATGCCACAAAAAGCCAGCATGTGCCGGCTTGTCGTATACGTCACTATGTACTGTCGGCAATTCACAATACCAGCTTTGTATTCCTGTGGTTCAGTAGCATTTTTATTTTTGGCCGGACTTTTTTTTTATTCGCCCGCGCGCACTAGTTTGGGAGTCTTCAGAGGATGTCATCCATAAAATTAAATCGGTGTGGCCTTACCTCGGGGGCATGTCATGTGACAAAATGTTGTTTTCGTGCATTTTTCGCTTGACTTCGATAATCTTCGAGGTCACATCGTCAAAATCCGGGTGTCGACAAAATTCGGCCATGAAATTCGTGGATTACAAAGCAAAACAAATATGTCGAGACAGACTTCGCTTCTACGGTTCCTTCAGCCGAGGTCCGATCGTGATGAAGACGAAAGAGATGTGGCAACAGCATCAGCCCAAGCTCTTCAAAACCCCGAAGGAAGCGATGAAGCTGGAAACCAACGGGAAACACGCCCGGACGAGCGAGAAGTGGACAGACCGTGCCGTGGGAGCGCCGAGACAGAGGGGGAGGGGGGCCGCCATGTGCTCTCGACAACACTCCCGGGCCCTCCTCCACGGCCTCCCGAGCTCCTTCCGACTGTCTAGTTCCGGGTCATCAGAGTCGGATTCCGAAACCGAATCAACCGAGGAGTCTAGTGCAAAAAGACATTTCTAGATTTTTTTATATATTTTTTTTCGACTCTTGCTACGATCATTTTTAGCATTCTTTACGTGTGGGATATTAATTGATATTAGTAATATTTAAGTTATTAATGTGCTTACTGGAAATATGTGGTGCACCCAAAATTTTTTTGGTGCACCTAATTTTTTTGGTTAGGTGCACCAGTGCACCTAGTCAAAAAAATGAATTTCGATCTCTGCCTTCTAAACACACTAAAATGGGTCCCAGTGGTTGAAATACGTAAGAAAAGCAAAGCTACTCTCGTCTATAAAGCTATTAACAGTTTGACTCCTTCCTACATCACTGCAATGTTCACACAATTATCACACGTGCATACTCACAACACTCGCCTCAGGGCGCAAGGAGGTCTTCAGTTGCCAATGACTAAGCTAGAATACAGAAGACGTGCCTTTTCTTCGTCTCGGGCGGTATTGTGGAACACACTACCACATCACCTAAAAGCAGCCAGGACCTTAGCAGCCTTCAAACAACTCTATGTACTGGGCAATCATTGATATGCAAATTCCAAGCCTGATTTTAATCTTGATTTCTTTTTTGTCCTACCTTGGTTCTATGTTATATGATGGTCAGGCTTCACTTTTGTTTCACTTATTTTGGTATTATGATTTCATGCGAAATGTATGCTACTTAAGTTACCTTGCTTTTGTATTATTTAGTAACTTTTGTAACTTTATAAGTTACTTTTGTTACTCCGTGAAGGAGGTCAGGACCTCCGGACGGAGTGTTGTAATCGGCTGATTTTTCATGTTCGCAGTCAAAACACTGGGTTCTCTTTGTGTAATCGGCACGCAATTTTATACGCCGTCTGCGGGCATGCCCGTGTTGATGCACAAATGTGTATTTTTGCCGTTGCTGCTTTCGCGGTCAATGTAATATTGCAGACGCACCCCTACAATTACGAGGTGAATTGGAATGGTCCAGAAAAACGCGTTGTTTGGAATAGCAGTGGGGGGGGTGGAACTTCATGCAGATACGGGGTGGTTCCAGATGTTTTAGCCCATGCTTAAGAGATGCCAAGTTTTTTGGAAGATGTTCGCAGCCAAAACGCATTCTTCCGTACGTCGCATTTCTGTGTAATTGGGCATGTGGTGTACCATTATGTCCGTGATGATGCACGTCTTTTTATTTTCACCGTAGCAGTTTTGATATTGAAGTAAATGCATATTTTAGAAACATCCCTACTTTTACAATCCTGTGGAATAGGCCGTAGGTTTAGGCAGTTGTCTGGTAGCAGAGGTTCTCTAAGCAGATATCCCGGGTATCTGACCGGCGGTAGTAACACTCGCGGTCCAGTCGCGCTTAATAAGTAACAGGCACGGTAAGACGGTGGGGTTGTCTTCGTTAATAGTGACACGACCATGATAGTCCAATCTTTATGTGAATGCAATGATTGTGTGTGCGTAATCAAAATGAACTTCGAACTTGAAGCACAGTATCTTTACACGCCCTGGGAGCAGTAATGGATTTAGGTCTTTTTATGTTTTATGCTTGTGACGCGCCCTCATTGTATTAACCGTTGCCTAATTATAATGTCTGCACAGTAGGTCAGGTCTGGCGTTGATGCTTGGGATTGTTTTTGTTGAAATATATAAAACTTCACGGAGGATTGTCGCCTATGGCTTCTTGTTGTTATTTGTATTAGTTTGAGTTTGATGTTTTTGTTTGGGGTCTTCCCCAGGCCCAGGGCTCATTGAAAAGCGCCCTACGGGCGATATGTATCCCCCTGGTTAAATAAATAAAAACAAACAAACAGTCAAAGAGCAGTTCCATCAGTCACGTGGTGTTTCTTTTAGTTTTTCTTTCACCTCCCCAAGCTGGCCGTGGTAACTGCTTTTTCTCAGTCCCCAAATGTTTCCCCATTGACTGACAAGCATGAAGCAACCTGTCCAAGGTGACCACCTGGCCAAGGTGACTGCCCTGAATTGGGTCTGCTCAAGGCCCAATTCCTGCCCATGGTGCCACATCATTTTGGGTCATGTTGATTATTGATGATAACTAAATGAACAATCATGAAAAACCAGCCAGTTTGCCTTGACTGCTGGATGATGTTTTTGTGCGACGTAAATTGCTCCAGGTGCCACCCTCACCACATGCATTCACCACAGAACTGAAGATGCTTACAGCATTTGACATTAAAACATCTCGACTTGGAAACCATTTATGCCTCAGACATGTTGTGAGGCGACCCTCTTCAAGGAGACCACCTGTCCAAGGTGACCACTTTTCTTTGGTCCGCTGGGTGGCCAGCTTGGACAGGTTTGACTGTACTTCAGAAGACAAAATTCCAAATAAAGACAGGTAATGGCACTTTTAAAGATCTTACCTAAGGCTTGTACCTTGTAGTTGTACTTGGTCAGGGTCTTGGGGGCACTGCATGGAGTGCCCCCACTATTAAAGATCTTTAAGTTAATAGTTACCAAATATTGCATCAATACTCTAAATTGACCATTTTAACTCTTTTAAGCGATTTACAAGATGAAACATAAAACCATTTGAGTTACTCACTGGTACTGCAGCTCAAGTTTGTGCTGCAGACTCTGTGGAAGCAGAACGTCTAATCCCTCCAGCAGCCTGGTGAACTCTGGAGACAGCTGACCACCAGGACCAACAGCCTGCAAACAAAACATACACTTTCTCAACCATTTTGCCATAAATTTGTTGTCAGACAATACAAATGCACTTTTCTTACTTTTTGAATCACTGTCAGTCAGTGGGCATCAATGTTACTTAGTTCCGGCATTGGTACTTTACATTGTGACAATGTCATTTGATAAAAGAAAAGACAACAAGCCTGTAATGTCACCTCTACTCTTCTCTTTACAATAATTACTTAAAGCTTATCCTCCAAACGACAACCAGACCACTGATGCAACCCTCACACAATGCCTGATGCATGAGTAGTGTTTGGACATGCATCTGTCGATGGACTTTGATCCATATGGCAAAGCATTACTTACTGTCTGTGCCACAGGCACACAGCACTTGTGCAAGTCGGCAAATTTTGAATGCATAAGCCAGACACATATTGTTAACGTGTTAACTTTTGTGTTGAGGAATAAGCATATCAGTCAGTGCTCAATGCATTTTACCCATTTTACCCCATTCAATGATGGAAGTACATTCACTCTTACTACCACTTTCATCCAAGCTGTACCTTATTGCATGACAAGAAGAACACTTGATCATCTCGCAGCTCTGGGAAGTGGCCCCTCAGTGTCTTTAAGTAGTCTTCCTTCACTACTTCTCTCTCCTCTCGCTGGACACTGTCCCACTTGTTGCAGACGAATATGGTGGATTTGAGGTCAAACAGAGACATGTCGAACACGTCCCCCCATTTGTGTTTCTGACACCACTTCAGCAGGCGGCTTAGCTGAAGCAGAAAGGACAAATTTTGTGTCTTCAGAATTAAAAATATGTGTGTGTGTGCATATGTCTTGTGTGTGTGTGTGTCTTTGTGTGTGTGTGTGTGTCTTTGTGTGTGACACGCGTGTCTTTGTGTGTGTGTGTGTGTCTTTGTGTGTGTGTGTGTGTCTGTGTGTGTGTCTGTATGTGTGTGTGTGTGTCTGTGTGTGTGTCTGTATGTGTGTGTGTGTGTGTCTGTGTATGTGTGTGCATGAGTGTGTCTTTGTGTGTGTGTGTGTGTGTCTGTATGTGTGTGTGTGCCTGTATGTGTGTGTGTGTGTGTGTGTGTGTGTGTGTGTGTGCCTGTGTGTGTGCATGTGTGTGTGTGCCTGTATGTGTGTGTGTGTGTGTATGACTGAGAGAATGAGGAAATGTTTGTTTACCCCATCCATATGCTCATCAGTCCCCTCCCCATCTCCCATGAAGCTGTTGATCATGTAGATGAATGCACAAGTGGACGACACTGCACCCGCCACTACTTCATCCATCTCTGTTGTTGCCAGGATCCCAGGGCCATCAACAAGACATATTCCACCCTGAAAAATATTAACCACGTACTTGTAGTTGTACAGGTATGTAAGTTCATATTTGTATCCATTTGTTTGTATCTATGTATGTAAGCTCTAGAAGATTTAGGAAAGTTGCTGTATTTTTGTTGTAGCAAAAAAGATTTCTATATAAATAGTTAACATCAAAGTTACGAAAATGTGGCAAAGGCTCTTTGAGAAATTATTGTGACAATCCACAAGCAAACCTTCAGGAATTCAAGGGGCCACTCTATGACCACCTTCTCTACCGCCTCTGCATTCTGTTGTCCCCTCTGTATGTAGGAACAAAGTTGATCCTTCGCATTTTTAAGATCAATGGTCTGCTCTCTGGTGCCAGCTGTTGGGTCTTTCAGGTAGACTGTAGCCCTCTTTACTTTGCCATGCCTGACGAAGCACAGAGTGGAGGTGCAGGCCAGATGGGACACCGGCAAGATGTTCTCTCCCAGCAGCAAGTTGAGGAGGCTGCTCTTGCCTGAAGAGGACTCTCCTACATCATAAAGAAATGCAGATGAAGTGGCATCAGCATCAGTTTCCCCATTATCCCCCCCCCCCTCCCATTTTTAAACCAACAGCTACAATGCATTTCCCTGTCTGCTGAATATGAAGTCACACAACAGGTACTGTCTGATCATTAAAGTTTAGACTTTTTAAAATGAGTGAATCAAAGCAAGAAAATGTTTAGAAATACCTGATATAATATCATACACTTATTTTACTTATCCCACTACCTACATGGTATGACGTACATGTACCTACTTCTGATATTTCCAACTTTTAAGTAAAAGACTTTAATAGAACCTTTATGTTTAATTTAAGTAAGATGTTACAATTACTAATATTAATTAGCATTACTTAATAATTATTTGCCAAATTGGTCATTTTTTCAGTTGGAGATGAGGTGTAGTGGAGAATATATTAACTAACCTATGACTAAGATGGGACAGTCGTCATTCTGCAGAAATGTCCTCACATCTTTTAAGAGATCTTGGCCGAAGACGTCAGTCATCTTTTGTTTGTCGTCATCTTCCATCTCCTCAACAAAAGCCAAGATCTTGCCACAGATTTCCCTTAGACCTTCCCGCTTTTTCATGTTCTCAGTCATAGCTCGCTGCAACATTTCTGTAATCTGCCAAAGACATTCACTTGTAACTCATGACACTGCTGTAGACTTTCTTTTATAAGCATAATGTACCTCTACTTGGAGAATATACATGACTTTTTTGTACAACTGGCATATGCTTTCCCAGAGACCTTCAAGTCATCAGAAATTTGTCCCATTTCTTTTTATCTAATGGATAGTGTTCATAAATCAAACGTCCCCAACATAGAGTTTTAATTTCCTATGAGCATCCCCAACATTGTAATAAAATTGTGGTAATCTCAAATTTGAAGCGTTATTGTAATTTGTTGGTACTGGTACCTGACCAGGACGTCTGCTTGTAGCTGCCGCTGCCCGTATGTCTCTGATCCTCTTCTTCAGTTCTTCTCTTGCCTCCTCTTTTTCCAGGTCATCAATTTCCTCCTTAGTCATGCCAAACTCTTCTCGGAGAAGCCGGATTACCTTACCAGACTTCATCTGGTCTAGCTCCTCCTCTGTTGGGAGGTCTGTCTTCTCTGCCATTGTTGGTGCCTATAAGATTCATAATTATTGTATATTACAGATTTTATATGACATTTTTGTGTACCAATTGATGGAAGAAGTTCACTGGACCCGTGGTTAAAAGGAAGTTTAAAAAATCAAGCTGCTAATGATTAGTTGTTTCCTCGGACGCCTCTGACTAAGGTACAATTCCAAGACGTTTGATAAATTATGACTGTCACAGTATTCTTATCTCTTGGTACCTGACCAGGACGTGTGCTTGTAGCTGCTGCTGCCTGTACTTCTCTGATCCTCTTCTTCACTTCCTGCTTCGCCTCCTCTGTTTCCATCTCCTCAGTTTCATCCTCAGTCATGCCAAACTTTTCTCGGAGAAGCCGAGTTAACTTCCCAAGCTTATTAATCTGGTCTATCTCCTCCTCAGTGGGGAGGTCTGTGGTGTTCGCAGACATTGTTGGTGCCTATAAGATTCATAATAGTATATTATAGATTTTATATGACACTTTTTGTGTAATAATTGTAGAGAAGTTCACAAAATGTTACAGCATGATTTTGGCAGCCCTGAGTGTTGAAAGATTAAGATTATTGTTGTTATTATTGCAGTTCATTTCCTTTCATTACAAAAATGGTGTTTGTTGCTGTTTTGATTCTTTGTACCAAGCTCCTTGCTTGTTGTCAACAATTATATCACGGTCACCATGATTTACAAAAATTATTGTGACTAAATTTAACTTCCAAATGCAACAATTACTGGAAATTCCTGTCATTTACCAATTGGGGTCTTCCTTTTTCAACAAACCATTCAACAATCCCACTAGTTTGCGTAATCCTGTTCTCTGAAGACTGCCTAGAGCTTCTTATGTTCTTTCTTAAAAAAAGGCCAGCGTTTTTCACCGCCACCGCTATAATTTCCAACCGCATTTTAAATGGATTTACAACAGTTAACGTTACTGTGCGAAAATATTAAACTATGCCGGACTTTGGACCCCTTCCGTTTAACACGGTAAGTTTCGTAAGCAAGCAAGCCCAGCTTAAGCCATTCGTCGACATATTTTATATGCAATTCCACGAGAGGAATACACTATTGGACTGACGTCCTACCTGGCCGTAGATGCTACTCTACTCTACTCTAAACTTTCCACAAACGAATTGGGACCCCACAAACCGGAAGTTGATTTTTGAGGTACAAATTTGCTGAATTTTCTCATTTTCTCCTGCAAAACATTTTGTTTGTGTGATCCACATATATTTTTGTTAGTTGTGAGTGAATTTCATTGAGTTTGAACGAAATCTAGTGGCGCTACTAAGGGGGTTGAGATAAGTTACTAGCTCCCTCCCCACACCACCCCACGAGACCTCAGCGCCACCCTTAAGGATTTATTCTTTAGAATTCTTTATTCTTTAGAAGCGCCCAGTTCACGTGCTTACCGCACTGCTTTAAAGTTCCATATGACCCTGTTATTACTACTGACTCTCGGATCTTTTCTTGGTTATACAGTACCGTTCGCGTTATAGTTACCCTAACGGCCGTTACTAACGCGTTTTTTCCCGTTACTTTTCCGTTACTTTTCCGTAAGTTTTCCGTAACTTTTGCGTAAGTTTTCCGTTACTTTTCCGTTACTTTTCCGTTAGACTTCTGCATTCATATGCAGGCCGCGGTAACATCACAGAATAATGGGAGGAGTACTAATTTACCTCATGCGGGGCGGGAAATTACCGATACACACCGCTGGAACAGCGGAAGGAACGTTGATCTAGCCTGCATTTTACTATATTGTAACGTTTAAAACGTTTTACGATCACCGGCGCAATTCAATTAGATAGACATTTTCTTTTGTCACTGTTGCCCAGGCAAGCGTTTCTATAGTTTGTCAACTTTGTTTTGCTGTTTTTCTCTGTTAAAAACTTATTTTACCACCGAATAAGCAAACCTAGATGATCTGAAGTTATAAATGCCCCGGTCCGCCGTACATAATAGGCGGCGGGCGTGAGGTAACGTTAGGGATGTGCAAAAACATCGTGGAAAATTCCTATAACACTCGAAAAAAGGCAGCATATTTACACGTGCCCACCAACATTTTTATGGCTAATTATTGACCAGTTTTGGGGAGTTTTGTTATGTCCTTGGAGTTTTGTTTAGAGTGGGACGGAAAGCCGTGCCGCCACTCCGACTCCATGCACTTCCGTGTTACATTAGTAGATAGTAGATAGTAGATCCTTTCAGCCAGGTAGGTATCCATCCAGTTTAGGCTGCTCGTTGCTCTACCGGACTGTCATTCCCGGCCTATGCGGGCAATCCAGGGCCGTGTGATTGTACATAATTGGATGACTCTCCATGTATTTATCAAGTCTGTTCTTGAAGGCATTTACCGAGGGTGCAGAGACCACTTCTTCAGGAAGACTGTTCCACCAGTTGGCCATTCTGCTTGTAAAGAATAATGCCCTAGTATTCCCCTTGAAGGTCTTCCTTGTTATTCTCAAGCTATGACCTCTTGTCCTTGAATCTGCTTTTTGTTGGAACAGGTTCTGTGTGTCAAACAGACCATGCATGTATTTGTACGTGTTGATTAGGTCTCCCCTAATTCTCCTGTAGACCAATGTTGGGAGTTTCAGAGTTCTGAGTCTATCCTCGTATTAAAGAAAGGTTGCTCAACCCCGGAACTCTTTTTGTGGCCCTTTTTTGGACTTTCTCTAATTCAAGCATCAGATTCTGTCGATACGGAGACCAAACAGAGGCTCCATATTCTAAATGTGGCCTAATCAGGGCTTTAAAAAGCAGGAGAAATACTTCTTGATCGATAAACTGAAATGTTCTCCACAGTAGTCCTGTTAACTGGTTTGCCTTGTTTGCAATTGTGTGTATATGGTCCTTAAATGTAAGGTCTTTATCCGTTAATATACCCAGGTCCTTCTCCGTAGTCGTTGCTGCTAGGGGGATACATTACGTTGTATGTGACTAACAAAATTACGCCAAAGGCACCACAAATCCACATGTACATATATTTTTTTCCCCGAAAATTCTTTTGAGTACGCATTTCGTCACTAGGATGTTGCTAATTAGTCGTAGAAATAAGGTAGAAACCAGCGTAAATGTGGCTCTCTCGAGATCATTTCGCGCGGGGAAGGGCGCCCCAGCATGCAACGGGCTTCGTTCTAGCCAATCACAGCGCAGGTCATCTAAGGTGAACCAATCAGAGCGTAGCTACTTGCATATTATAATGAGCATGCTGCACACAGGGCGGCAGCGGCCAGGGCGACCGGCCCTGAGTGCGCGGGAAATGTGTTTTGCAACTATATTTTTACGGGGATTTTCTGACGTTTGACGCTGACTTTGGCACGATATGATCGCACTACCATGTACACGCTACCGTAGGCGGCAAATGAGTGGTCATTTTTATATAATCGTCGAGAAATTTTGGCGTTATGCACCCGGAAGTGAGCCGATCTCAGTTTGCGTTCCCTCGATTTTTGACAGTTTCCCCCCTCAAAATAAGAAACAAAACTACCGCTATTAAATAGAACCATGTATTACAATTATCATTTCAACATGATAGATCTATACATATTCCTTTATTAACTATGATATCATCATGGTTGTGGAAAGTCCTCAGCTGGCGAACCGAGTCCTTGCGCCGGGAGTGACGGTACATTTTAAGCCGCTAGTACTAGTAAGCCGCGCGCCTTACAAAAATTATAATAATTTTTCTTTTGTGTCAAAAACCGCCGTGAATTTAAGGCATGAGTTACCGATTTATATTTCTTCTACGGCAGATATTTCTTGTTTCGTCACGTCCCATGACGTCCTGTGAGAGCGGTAGGCCGCCGCTGGTACAAAATGTACAAGACATCGTCTGCCCACTGCTACACTTTGTTGACATACATTGTATTACACAACGTAATTTTCCGCTAGAAATAACTATAGAATAGCATTAAAAGATAGCACAATTCGCTTCACACAGTCGACACATGGATAAACCACAAAGTTATTTTACGAATCACATGTCCACTTGCCTCTGGTGCTGTTATTTTTCAAGGGGCAACATCGCAACACATTAGCGGACGCCCCAGGAGGTGGCAAATTGCTATTGTCTTGTCGGCGCGCAAAACAAACATGAAATCCGACCCTATCACATTAACGCAAACGGTAACGCGTTAGAGATAATTTCTGACGATTTTCTAACCATTTTCTGACGAAAATCTAACCAAATACTGACGATTTTCTAACCATTTTCTGACGAAAAAATAACTCGTTAGTAACGGGGTACCCGGTTAACTATAACGCGAACGGTACTGTAGGGAAAGCAATCATAGAAACGATCAGAAGACTATTATGGCCAATAAAAAAAGCGCAATGATTACTTAGGAAAGGAGTGCAAAGCCCCCCTCCCCCACAAAACGCCGGCTGGGGCTTTAAGACTATAATTTAGTATAAATGTTACCTGTAAGGTGAGGAAGTTCAGCCGTTACGCACTACCAGCTGCAGGCTGCAAAAATTAACTAATAAAGGTCTTCAGTTGTATGAGGTGGTGACTGTGACCAAGCTCTGAGGACACATGGCGCGAAAACTACGAAAACGAAAATGATTCATCAAAAATCCCGGCAGGTTAAGGTAGCAGGTCACAGTATTAATGGGCGACCCCCTATGACGCGGGTATAGAAAGTAGTGCAGCGAATATTCTTGAAGGCTGGGTAGAAAGCCTAATAAGAGCGTCAGCCAGGTGTAAATTGTGCTGTGTGGTGTAGAAATGTATCGGGTTTGAGACTGTATGATTTGATTTGTTAAGGTTTTGCAGTTCGTGTATAAATGCGCCGCATTGTGCAACTGGCTTTCCGGGTGAGTCGGCTGCAGTTCAGGTCACGTCCGTAGGAGGCGATTTCAAAGTGTACGTCACGAGCAGATACGCCGACAGGATTTTTTGGTTTCTAGATATTTTGTAGTTTGTACCTTCTTCTCAAACATATTCGATTTTCGTATTTGTGAAGTGCACCCTGCTATAATTTTTACCGCGTCGAAGTGAGTCATCTTGGGGTCCTTAACTATAGAAATCCCCATAGGGCGAAAACTGTGTTCTGCTACCTTCAAAATGACTGCCAATAGTCGCGTGACATGTGGTGACTGAGGTGTTGGCACTTTGACCTCTAGACCTGAGCGCTTACCTGTTGGACCGGTTCTTTCCGCAATGGCTACATTCTAGCGAAGACCGCCAAAACAGTAGAAATTGGATATAGTACTTTGCATGACAACCATAGCATGACAAAGACGAAACTGAGATATCTTTAAGATTATGAGATGTAAAACATAACGTTGGTTATAACAACACGTTTTAGTGTCTTTGTATCCAGGCCACAGTTTTAGACGCTCCCATTTGACCCACCACAAGAAGGAGACCTGCTAGAAGCCGCCACGTATGTGGTATCATTTTTCTTATAATATGAACAAACTTAAATACAAGTTAGAAAAGGGCGGAGACTTAGACTGCATGTATGAAGGAAAGACGTTCAAACATTGGGCGAACTGTAAATGCCAACATCCGTTAATTTCAAGCGAATTGAAGGCTTTAAACGTTAGACAAGGTATGTAGTAGATACAGCTAATTAGATATAACGTTATGTAACGTTACGCGTTTACTAACAGCCTAACCCAGTCACGTCGCACGATCACAGACTTTGGGACAGTATTGCAGGTGTTGTACAAGAGTTATATTTTGTACCTTTCTTGTTACGGAAAGGCCGTCTTAGATCATTATCTGCGGTTGTTTCTGTCACAGCATGCCTCAAAATTCGACATCAAAACCGTGCGGTAGCCTTTTTCGCAGACTTGTAAGGCGGCCGCGTTAATTTTTTCGGCAGCGAAACCCTCTCTTCCCAGCAATGTCCCACGGCGGCAAAACCGTCCCTCCGCGGCATAACTCGCGTCGCTCCCCGAAAAAATTAACGCCGCCACTTTTAAAGTTTTATAACTTTCACTGGTGACTTTTACATTATTTTCTCGCGTCAAATTCGACCGGAATAAACGTACGATAAAGTCAACCAAGAAATTATCGGTCAATGGGTGATTTATTCCCATAATGTTGAAAGAGAACTTAAAGTTTTGCATGTAAAATGTTTATTGGGGATTGATGCATTCATACATCAATAGTTACTGCTACAAAAAACTTTGGAGTCTTGTTCCATAACCCTCTCGATTTTTCTCATTTCTATCCCCTCCTAGAAAATTCGCTGGTTTGCTCTTTTGTATCTGTTGCACCTTCATTCTAGCTTTTGCAACTCAAACCTCTATCACATTGATTGACAACAAAACTGTATAAAAAAGTACATTGCATTAAGTGAATTTTATTCAAAATTCTGGTATGCCACATGCTGACAATGTCTGGAATATTGAAAGTGCTGTTCATGAACAATTCTGACTTAAAAAGTTTGTACCTATATTAGTCTTGATATCATGATACTTTGATGTTTTAAAAAGGACATTTAGTGTTTCAAATCAGGTGTTTGTCTAAAAGTTAAAAAGTGACTAAAAGTGTACTTCTATATATTATTACATAATACATCTTGATTTCATTGTGGGTTCCTTATAAAGATGGAATGTAGACTGATGTAGATTTAGAAAGGAAATTTAAAATCCACTTAACTTCTCACTGACAACATTTCTCATATACATACATGTACATGTAGTTGATTGACAACATTTTATAAAGTGCAATCTAAAATTTCACAAGATGTGATATTTAGAGCCTATGCAAACATTTCATAGCCGACTTCAGACTTCCAGTACAAAATATACAATAATGTTTATACCAATATGGTGGACAATATTTTTAGCCATTTCAACTGAATACATGTATGATGTTTCACTACATGCACAATTATTTAATATGTATAATACAATGTATTATGTCATATTTACAAATGCATGTACACGATATGTTGCATGCATCCTATATTATCATACAAACTTTTTTCTTGTTCCGCAAATTCCTCTATAAACATTTGTACTGAAGAAAGGTACCAGACGGTACCTGAAATGTCTACATATTAAAATTTCAATTTATCCAGTTTGAAAAGATTCCACTGCTTTATTACTTTAACAGTTTTGGCCGTGTTTCTGACGAAGGCCCAAGCTGTTTGGGCTGAGTTTCTGCAGAGTTGTAGGGCCCTGCATCCTGGAAGGGGGCAGGCGATTCGCTGCCTACAGTTTTGGGCCTGGTGGTACTGCTTACTGATTGGCTGTTGTAGGTGCTGACTCCTGATTGGCTGTTGTAGG